GCCCAGTTATTTTTTTATTATTATTATTATTTTTAGAGGTTGGGTCTCACTATGTTGCCTAGACTAGTCTCAAACTCCTGGGATCAAGCAATGCTCCCACCTCTGCATCCCAAAGAATTGGGATTATAGGCATGAGACACCATATCTGGTTTATAATGGAATATTATTTGACAATAAAAAGGAAGTTCTGATACATGCTACAACATAGATAAATCTAGAAATCATGATGCTAAGTAAAAGAAGTCAGTCACAAAAGGCCACATGTTTTATGATTCTCTTTACATGAACTGTCCAGAATAGGTAAATCCATGGATACAGAAGCAGATTAATGGTTGCCTAGGGCTGAGGATTAGAGGGGAGGCAGAGCAGATGGGAGAGTGACTGCTAACAAGTACTGATGCTAATGGTTTCTTTTAGGGATGATGAAAATATTCTAAAATCCATTGTGGCAACAGGTGCACAACTCTGTGGATACACGGAAAGCCACTGAATTGTACACTACAAATGAGTGAATAGATGGGGTATGTGAATTACATCTCAATAAAGCCTTTTTTTTTTTTTTTCCAGAAAAATCAGGGTAAACGTTATCTCAGGTGAAGGAAGGCAGGAGATGGGATGGTAAAGGAGTTCATAGGGGAAAACAGGTTATTATCAGTGTTCCAGTTCTTGTGTCAGATTGCTGACTCCACATATTTTTATTGTTATATAAAAATAAATACACACAGGGCCAGGCATGGTGGCTCACACCTGTTATCCCAGCACTTTGGGAGGCTGAGGTGGGAAGATCGCTTCAGCCCAGGAGTTCAAGACCAGCCTAGGTAACATAGTGAGACCCCTATCTACAAAAAATATTTTTCAAAATTAGCCACCCACGTGGCATGCATCTGTAGTCTTAGCTACTTGGGAGACTGAGGCAGGAGGATCACTTGGGCCCAGAAGTTTCAGGATGCAGTAAGCTATGATTGCACCACTGTACTCCAGCCCTGGGCAATGGAGCAAGACCAGGTCTCTTAAAAAAAAAAACCCCACACAAACATAAAGTGAGGCAATCATGGACAACAATAAGAATGTGTCACAGATGCACAGATGAAGCAATTCTGTGCACCTGAGATGGAGGGGGATGAACGGCTAACTGCAGAGAGTGGTCAGGACAGTGGAGCCTGTTTGAGCCAAGGCTAGGATGAGATGCTCCAGCCCATGTGGGGATGGGGGTGAAACATGTTCCAGACAGAGGAGAGCATGAATGAGGGCCCTGAGGTACACCCAAGCCTACTGTGTTTGGGGGACAGCCAGTTTATTCTGTGACTGGGCACAGTAGCTCACGCCTGTGATCCCAGCACTTTGGGAGGCCAAGGCAGGTGGATTGCTTGAGGCCAGGAGTTTGAGACCAGCTTGGGCAACATGGGCAAAACCCTGTCGCTACTAAAAATAAAAAAAAAATTAGCTGAGAGTGGTGGTGGGTGCCTGTAATCCCATCTACTTAGGAGGCTGAGGCAGGAGAATATATGAATATATTATTCCCACACTTAAAGGCTTAACAAAGCAAACAGCTACTATGTCATAGTTTCTGTGGATCATGAATCCAGGCAGTTTAGTTGCATGGTTCTGGCTCAGGGTCATCCGTGAGGTTGCAGTTAAGAACACCGGCTAGGGCTGCAGTCATCTGAAGACTTGACTGGGGCTAGAGGATCTGATTCCACAATGGATCACTCAGATGGCTTTTGGAAGTAGGTCTCAGTTCCTCGTTGGTGTTGGCAGGAGGCTTCAGTTCCTCATCACATAGACCTTTCCACAGGCTGCTTGAGTGCCCTCACATGAAAGCTGACTTCTCCCAGAATAAATGATACAAAATAAGATAGCCAGGAGGAAAACATAGAGGCTTTTATGTCCAATCTTAGATGTCACATACCAGCATTTCTTCTGTCATATTTTATTAGTTAGAGGCAAATTGACACTTAACTGGGGAAGGGGAAGAGGAATTAGGCTCTTCCTGTTGAAGGAAGGAACATTAAATAATTTATGAACTTTTTTTTCGAGATGTAGTTTCACGCTTGTTGCCCAGGCTGAGTGGAATGGCGCGATCTTGGCTCACCACAATCTCCACCTCCCAGGTTCAAGCGATTTTTCTCCCTCAGCCTCCTGAATAGCTGGGATTATAGGCATGTGCCACCACGCCCAGCTAATTTTTTGTATTTTTTCTCATTGCTGAGAATAAAGAGTGAAACCCCAGTCAAAATCAGTCTGGCAGTGAGAAGGGTGGGAACTCTTCAAATACAGTGGAATAATAACAGCAGCAGCAGCTACAGGATGAGAGACACATTTTGAGAGGCCAAGAGCACTGAAAAGATGATGGTGCCGATCATACATCATTTAAAATAAAATAAATATTAAATGAGAAAAAATTTAAGGTGTTGATAATTCCAAGAAAGCTTTTATTTGTCCCCTGATCATTACTTTGATACCTTTTCTGAAATGTTAGAGCTGTCCCCACCCTGCGCTTTTTTTTTTTCTCATTAAGTGGATGCATCTGGGTTGCTGGTGACCTTCGTAGTGTAATAACTATCGGGAAATCTAGTTTCTCATAGCTTTTTTTTTTTTTTTTTTTTTTTCGATTTCTTTTTTTTTTTTTTTTTTTTCTGAGACTGGGTCTCGCTCTGTCACCCAAGCTGGGCTGCAGTGCCTCCTGGGTTCAAGTGATTCTCCTGCCTCAGCCTCCGGAGTAGCTGGGATTACAGGCACAGGCCACGACGCCCGGCTCATTTTTTAGTAGCCGGGTGTGGTGGCCTGTGTCTCTTTAGTAGAGACAAGGTTTCACCACGTTGGCCAGGCTGGTCTTACTTCTGACCTCAAATGATCCACCCGCCTCGGCCTCCCAAAGTGCTGGGAATTACACGTGTGAGTCACCGCGCCCGGTCTATCATAAGTTTAATTGAACATTCACTAGGCATTAGGATGTGTTTACATGCATTAACCCACTTAATCTGTAAAACCACCATGTGAGGGAGAAACAGCATTTTCCCCATTTTCAGGGTAAGCAAAAGGAGGGACTGGGATGTGAAACACAGGAAGTGTGACTCCATCGGGTAGACTACCCAGGCTGCAGATGTAAAGGTTTCACACGTAGGAATTTCCAGATCTCAGCTTCTAATCAGGCGGAGGGACCGTTCGGGCGGGAGCAGAGCCTTGTCTTTCCGAGAGCCCTGTGCCTTTAAGAGTTGCCCCCTCCTTTCAGTGATGCTCCAATTACTTTCTCCCACCACCCCCACCCCGAGCCCCGCCACCCAGAGCATCACCCCGCCCCCAGTGCCGCGGAGCCGCACCTCGGTCCTTCCTCCCCGCCCCACACCCACAGGCTCGGCTCCTGGCCTTCGCTCGTCCAGAAGTGCGTGAGCTGTACCGCCAGAGGCGCATTCTCCCGGCCCCAAACCATGCCCGCTACGCCCCAGCGGAATGCCACCTTGGAGACCCTAATCCGGACACCTCCCAGCTCCTGCTTCCCGAGGGCGAGGCCTCAGCACCCCCTCCCATCGCCCAAGCTCACGACGCCGTGAAGGTGACCTCCCCCAGGGGCGGCACACGCCCGGTGGTGCCCGAACGGGCTCACACGTGGTGAGCCGGGAGCGCGCGGCCCCTCCCCGCCACGCGCCTCGTGCCTGCCACCCGGCCACGCCCCCAGGACTGGCTCCGCCCGTGCCCCTGCACGCTTCTCTAGGCTTGGGAGGAGCGACGCGCCCAAGTCAGGCACCGCGCAGGCTACGGGGTGGGGTAGGACCTGGGAATGGCGCACCCTGGCATCCTCGAATGTTGCCAGCGGTTTGTGAAAAGCGGGAAGTCCGCCCAGCTCAGAACCCTTGGCTGGCAGGCGAGGTGCCCCGGCCCCTTGGTGCTGAGCAAGGGAGAGAAAGCTGGGACGCGAGCCTAGGAATCCGGTCCTAGTCTGTGTCTCCTCGGTGTTTGGAAAGTGGGCATCATATTATATTCCCTTCTTCCTCGGGATTATTGTGGAGCCTCAAACGGGATTAAATATACATATATATGAGAAAGGGATTCTTTCATTGGGTCCATAAGCATTTGCTGGTCCCATATGTGGTTGGATCCTGTGTGTAGTAGGCAGGAACAACATCTAAAACAACCTGAGTCTGTCTTCTAAGAAGCTTTCCTAGTCTTGGTCCCCGCAAATTCTCTTCTGGGACGGTCCGAAAAGACGTCCCTGAAAGAGGAAAGGGCGGAAATCCTACCTGGCGGCAGGTGTCTCGGAATGAGCTAAAATTTAAAAGGCAACGCGGAGCAGGGACAAGCGTCCAGAACCAGACGGGAGGCAGGCTCGGCGTCCCCTACCCTTCCTCCAACCCCCAACCCAAGAAAAGAAACCGATCTCCCCGGTGTCCCCCAATCCCAGCCGGGAGACCGCCCAGCCCCGCAGCCCGAGCCCCGCCCCGCTCCAGCGGCCAGCGATTGGGAGATGCAAATACCGGCTTCTCTGCCCAGCAACGGGTGACGCGACGCCCGAGCGCGAGGCGTGGCCCGGCCGCAGCCCAAGCGGGCACCTCGGTGTTTACACGGGGCGGCCCCGCGCGCGCCGCAGCGGCCCGCAGACGGCGAGGGGGAGGGGTGGCGCGCGCGCCGGCGGGGCCGCGCCGGGAGAAAGACACTGAAAGGCGTCGGCGGCGGGGCGGGGAGCGGCGCGCGCGGGCCGCGGCGGAGCCCGAGGCTGCAAGAAGAGCCCGCGGGGGCCTGGAGGGTGCAATTCCTTCGCCCCCGCAAAACAATGTGTGTTGTGCGCCGGGACGCAACTTGCCGGAGGCGGCGGGGGCGCGCCGAGCCCGCCTGAGACCGCGCTGACCTTCTCCCCCCGCCGTCCGTTGGGCCCAAGCGCCCAGCTCCTCGCTCCCCAGCTCGCGGGGGCCGGGCCGAGCCGCGGGGCGGGGCCGCCCCTCCGTCGCCGCTGCCTCCTCCCCCACCCCCAGCCGCGGAGGATGCGGACGGCCCCCGGCGGCGTCTAGCGGCCCCGGGCCCAGGCGCGATGGTGCAGCAGCGGGGCGCGAGGGCCAAGCGGGACGGCGGGCCGCCGCCCCCGGGGCCCGGGCAGGCCGAGGAGGGGGCGCGCGAGCCCGGCTGGTGCAAGACCCCGAGCGGCCACATCAAGAGGCCGATGAACGCGTTCATGGTGTGGTCGCAGCACGAACGGCGGAAGATCATGGACCAGTGGCCCGACATGCACAACGCCGAGATCTCCAAGCGCCTGGGCCGCCGCTGGCAGCTGCTGCAGGACTCGGAGAAGATCCCGTTCGTGCGGGAGGCGGAGCGGCTGCGCCTCAAGCACATGGCGGATTACCCGGACTATAAGTACCGGCCGCGCAAAAAGAGCAAGGGGGCGCCCGCCAAGGCGCGGCCCCGCCCCCCCGGTGGCGGCGGTGGCGGCGGCCGGCTCAAGCCCGGGCCGCAGCTGGCCGGCCGCGGGGGCCGCCGAGCGGCTGGAGGGCCTTTGGGGGGCGGGGCGGCAGCGCCCGAGGACGACGAAGACGACGACGACGAGGAGCTGCTGGAAGTGCGCCTGGTAGAGACCCCGGGGCGCGAGCTGTGGAGGATGGTCCCGGCGGGACGGGCGGCCCGAGGACAAGCGGAACGCGCCCAAGGGCCGTCGGGCGAGGGGGCGGCCGCCACCGCCGCTTCCCCGACACCGTCGGAGGATGAGGAGCCGGAGGAAGAAGAGGAGGAGGCGGCAGCGGCTGAGGAAGGCGAAGAGGAGACAGTGGCGTCGGGGGAGGAGCCGCTGGGCTTTCTATCCAGGATGCCCCCTGGCCCGGCCGGCCTAGACTGCAGCGCCCTGGATCGCGACCCGGACCTGCCGCCTCCCTCGGGCACGTCGCACTTCGAGTTCCCGGACTACTGCACCCCCGAGGTTACTGAGATGATCGCGGGGGACTGGCGCCCGTCTAGCATCGCCGACCTGGTTTTCACCTACTGAGCCCACCGTCAGCGGGGCGCGCACGCCCCCAAACCAGCTGTTTACATACAGGAATCAGGTATTGGGGCCCCTCGGAGGCCGAGGCTGGCACCCCATCTCCCGCGCAGCCTCCCCCTTCCTGGACGTGCCCATCCCCCCTCAGATCCAGACATGCCCCTCCCCCGCAGACACACCCCAAGGCAGCCCAACCCCCACCCCTTCCCTGACATCCAAGCCCCTCCCCACGTTGCCCCCTCCCGCACAGCCACCAGCAGCCAGCCCCCTCCGATACACCTCCCGTCCTCTCCTACAGACCTGCACCCCTCCCCCCCTTTGCACACGCCCCTCCTCGTGGCCGGAGGACCCGCCCCCTCTCTTGCTCCAGATCCCTCCTCCCTCGCCCAGCCTGCCCGCTCCGGGTTAGGGGGGTGATGCGGCTGGGTGGCAACGCGCGCTCCTCCTGTGCCCCTCCCTTCCCTGGGGGGAGGGGCGCGCTCCTTTTATCCCCGGAGCGCTAGGGCCCGCCCCTCCGCTGGGACCCACCCCCTTCTTGCGCATGCTTAATGCTTCTTGGGAGGAGGGGGCTGGTCCCAGTCTAGCCGCCCTCATCGCCGGCTCCCGGCAGAAGCGGGGGCGAGTGTAGAGCGATCCTGGGAAATCCTTTGATCCCGGAGCCCTGGGTTTCCTCTCCACCCAACGGGGCGTCGCTGCCTTAATGGGAGGAACACTTGGAAGGGTTGGTTTGGGCCTGAAACTCCCAAGTGGCATAGCCCCTTTTCCCGTATGGGGTCTCCTACACCCACGCGGACCACCTCTCCGAACGCGTGGCTGCCTCTACAGTCTTATCTATATGTCCCTTTCTTTCCTCAACTGGGAATTGGGAGGTAAGGTCTTGCTCTGGAAATCCAACATTAGAGGAAGGGACCACCCAAGAAAACTCAAAACCAAGACACCTAACAGTCTGTTTGGGGGCAGGATCCCTGCTGCTCCTCCGCCACCCCCTCCTGGGAAGTGCCCTCTCACCTCAGGGCACCCGAAACCTGGGCTCCTCCCTAAGCCCACCGACCCTTCCTGTCACCCAGGTCCACCCTCAGTACCCACAGCTGCAGTATTCAGCGGGAAAAACTGAGGCACTTTGGTGCTAGGGGTTTGGGACTGAGGCGTGGATAGCAGACGTGATGGCAGGAAGAGTTCCACTTTTAGACATCTGGCTTGAAAGAGACCATCGACTTGGCCAGTGAGACTGAGAATGGATTGCGAGTAGAGATGGGCCGTTTGCACCTCGGTTTTTCCACGTGAGAAATGGGGAAAACGCTGCTGTTAGGAGGAAGTTGTGTCCAGTTCAGGGTGCCCTCGGGAGCCCTGCCCCTGATGCTGTGACCCCTCTCACGCCGACATCTCTCCGCTCAGCCCCGCCCCGACCCTCCGGTCTCCCCACACCCCCCCTTGCCCTCACTACCTGTATCTCACCGGCGTGTGTTCACCCTCCGGGTGGCTCACACACTCTCATTCACACACACAAATCTCAGGAACAAACGGTCCCAGAGTCCTCCGGGACCCCTGCCCAGGGTCTCTACAGGTCTCTGCCCCACGCGTTCCCGTCGCTGACAAAGCCACCAGCTGCCTCCTTCAAGCTTGGTGCTCCGGCTCTGGGCCTTTCTTGCGCTCTCTTTTTTTAAGAAAAACTACAACAAAAAAAGACAATGAAAAAAAAAAAGACGTCATGTGAGTGAAGAGATGTCACTGTCTGTGGTCTTGGAGAACTAGTCTCGTAGCTGAGGGGTGGGGTCCCTCCGTCTGGGGCACTGGCACCCACAGCAGGACTCCGCCAGTCTGATGCCAGGACTGAATAAAGTGTATTTGCCCCGACCTTGCCCTGTGGTTCTGCATGTCTATGCTTTTCCTCAACCCTCCCAAAACAATTTGCCAGATTCAAGTCCCTGTGATTTGAGCCCCAACTGGGTGTCCTAGGGCAAGCCACCTGGCCTGTCTAGGCCTCTATCTCAGGACTCCCTTGCCTTCTTGAAGAATAGCAAACTCACCCCTGAAAGGACCAGGCAGGTAACATAAACGAGTGACTCTGGGTGGACACTGGTGTCATGACCCACTTCAAGGGGCCCACCTCCTGCCAGTTGTGACCTTGTGGGGATGAAGTCCACAGTGGCCAGGTGGCCAGGCTTAAAGAGAAGCTGGATGGATGTTTCCGAGTCATCTTAATTTCAAAAGGAAAGCTGATTCATATTTTTAAATCTCTGTGAGCCAAATGAAACAAGTATGCAGGCAGGTCTGGTCGGAGGGGGCTGGCTTGACCATGCCTTACCATGCCTTTAATCAGGATTAAGCAGCAAGATTGGGCCAAACTGGACTCAAAGCCCAGCTCCACCACTGAGCACCCGTGTGACTTTGATTGAGCAAATTAAGTCCCAATTCTCCTTTCCATATGTGTAACATGGAGCTAATAATAGTGGCTGCTTCCCAGGGTGAGGTGAAATTTGAGGTGAGAAGCATTCAACATGGTGGCCACAAATCATGTTACTCCATTGTCAGAGAAGGAGACAGGGTCAGGTGGGGAAGCAACTCACAGGAGGGGCTGCAAGCAGCCAGGGTCAGAGACAGGGCTTGGTTCTGCCTCCTGGTGAAGCATGGCTTCGGGTTGCTGCCTCTCCCTCCCTGTTTGAATCTGCAGATGGTGTTAAGCCCCCAGCTCAGGGCCTGGAGTGGTGGGATTGGTCCCAGTGCCTGGCACACATTGGTCTGCAGAGTAGATTTACTGAAAGACCAAAGAGCAACAGAAGCACAGTGATTCCTGTCTTTGAGGCTCTGACCAGTGTTTTACAACTGAGACCAAGGCTTTTCCCTCCTTTGTCCCTCTGACACCGCCGCCCCCCCCCCCATTCTTCATCTGTCACATCCAGTGCATTCCTAAGCTGGGACAAAGCCTCTGTTTTCCCAGTAAGCCAGGGCCGAGTGTGGAAATTACAGTGACTGCTTCCTCTCAGCCTTTTGGGTTGAAAGCAAGCTAGAAAAAAAAAAGTAATAATAAAATCCTATGAGAGGAGGTAAAGTTGAGAAGGTGTGGTAGATAGGGCTACCTGTCCCCAGAACTCTCTTCAAGGGAAGACTTCCCCAGCTGTGGGAAGTGCCATCACTGGGCGCGGTGGTCATCAGGGTAGGCCCCAGCTGCAGAGAGTCACTTCACCTGAGACCACGCCCTTCCTGGGGCAGCCTGCATCTGGTGTCTGAGTGAGACATGGTATGAACACCTGGTCATTTCAGTGCAAGATGGGACGGACGCTGACAGGAGGTACTCCCACCAGGCCTGCAACAGCCAGGGCTTCATCAGGCCTGCAGCACACTTTGACTTTCTATGCCAGTCCTGCTCCCTCTTCTTTTCACAGGTACTTACTCCTAATAAACATCTTGCAACCCCAACTCAGTCTCAGCGTCTGCTTCTAGAGAAACCCAGTCTTCAACAGAGGGTTCAAGGGACTGGACAAAGGGAATGGGGTCAGTGGCCCAGCAACTGCAGCAAAGCCCCTGGGATGTATCCCAATCTCAAGAGTCTCTTCAACAACGCCATCTGCACCAACCTCAGGCCTGGACCCTTTCCTAGTCTATACGCCAGTCACGTCAATTACAGACTCCAGCCTCAGCCCACAGGCCCTCCTGGGCCCGCTGCTGATGCCATTCTTGCTCCCAGTCCCTAACCTGGTAAAAACAGGTTGGAGGGAGGTCGTTGTCTGAGTTTGTCTTTCAGAATAGCCTCGAATGGGGGGCACAGTAAAATGCCTGATTGGAGATAATGCTAGAGCTGTGGGACCTTGGGCAAGCCTATTCCCCTTTGCAGGCCTTATGGGGAGTGGGTATTAGGACTAGAAAGGGGACCATCTCATTTTTGTTCCTTCCATTTCGGATGCTGACCTGGAAGTTGGGGAGACACCTGGGGGGGTCTCTGGGGCCACCTAGTGGCTAAGAGGAGTATTACCAAGGTTCTATGTAGTTGGGAGGTGGGAGTCAGGGTGTGTCCCACGCCAAGGAACTGATTCCCACTGCAGTCTCCCTCCATTCATACAGTCATTGACTCATCACTGGGTCATGCGCCTTGCCTAGGTGATGTGAGCCACCCTGGTTCCAAGGCTTTAAAAACACTATACGCAGATGTCTTGGTTCTTGTCTATTGCTGCATAACGAATTGCCACAAGCTTCGCAGGGTAAAACAACATGCATTTTTTATTTCAGTCTTCGTGGGTCAGGAGTCCAGTCTTAGCTGGGTCTCTGCTCAGGATCTCACAAGGCAGCAACTGGGGTGTTGGCCTGCATTCCTTCCTGGAGCTCAGCAGCCTTTTCCAAACTCTCATGGTAGTGGGCAGAATTTGGTTCCTTGTGCTTATAGGACAGAGGTCCCTGTTCTCTTGCTGGCTGTCAGTGCCACTCGTAATTACTAAAAACTGCTCACAGTTTCTTGACACATGGCCCTCCTAGGGCCTCCCCAGCCCTCTCACAATGTTGCAACTTATTTTGTCAAGGCTAGAGGAGAATTTTTCTGCTGCTTGGAGTCACTTGGCTCAGGGAAGGTTTAAGTTCTTTCTTAAAAGCCTCCCCTGCCCGGGCATAGTGTGTTCATGCCTGTAATCCCAGCACTTGGGGATGCCAAGGTGGGTGGATCACCTGAGGTTCAGCAGTTCGAGACCAGCCTGGCCAACATGGGGAAATTCTGCCTCTTTTTCATCACCTTTGCAGTATATTGTAGCCTTATGAGAGTGACAGCCATCATACTAGATTAGCCCACACTCAAAGGGAGGAGGCTGTCTAGCACAGTTCCACCAGAGACTGGGAATCTTGGGGGGCCAGCTTAGAATTCTGCTTATCACACACCTGTAATCCCAGCACCTCCCAGAAGTGGAGGTGGGAGGATTTCTTGAGTCCAGGAGTTTGAGACTAGCCTGGGAAACATAGCAAGACCTCATCTCTACTAATTTTTTTTTAATTAGCCAGAAATGGTGGTGCATGCCTGCAGTCTCAGCTACTTGGGAGGCTGAAGTATCATAGCTGAGGATCCTCAAGTCTACAGCTCCATCTCGGACATGGCTAGACTCCCCGGTCTTCTTGAAGAATAGCAAACTCACCCCTGTAGGGACCAGGCAGGTAACATAAACAAATGACTCTGGGTGACAAGAAGATGCCTTCTTGTCATCTCCACTGGGATATCTAATTGGCACCTCAAACTTGACATGCCAAAAAATGAACTCTTGTTTCCACAGTGCTCCCAAGCCTGCTTCTGCAAACCACATCTTCACAGGCGAGGTGAAATGAAAGGTTAAAGCCTCTCGGTCATCCTCGACGCCTCTTTTCCTCCCAGCGCGCTCTCCCTTATATCCTGTTGGCCCCACCTTCAACATATGCCCTGTGTCTTATCACTTCTCATGTCTTCATGGCACCCCTCCGGGTCCAGGATCCATCATACCTTGCCTGGCATCCTGTACCAGCCTCCCCGAAGGGCTCCTTGCATTTTCCTTTGTCCCACTCATCGTCTTACTGTCCACACAGCAGCCAGAGTGATCCGGTTGAACTATAAATCACACACACCCTGCCTCTGTTCAAAATTCGCCAGTGGCTCTCCTCTCATTCAGTAGAAGCCAAAGTCCTCAGCATGGCCTGCAGAGTCCCATGAGAAGTGGCCTGTGGCCGAGCCTGGGCCTCATCTCCTACTACTTTTTCCTTCTCTCAACATGCCTAGTCACACTGGGCTCTGTTCTGTTCCTCAAAAGTGCCAAGCACACTCCCACTTGAAGGCCTTTGCACATGCTCTTCCCTCTGTTTAAAATACCCTTCCTCCGGCCGGGTGTGGTGGCTCACACTTGTAATCCCAGCACTTTGGGAGGTCCAGGTGGGTGGATCACCTGAGGTCAGGCGTTGGAGACCAGCCTGGCCAACATGGTGAAACCATGCCTCTACTACAAATACAAAATTAGCTGGGCATAGTGGCATATGCCTATAGTACCAGTTACTCAGGAGGCTGAGACAGGAGAATCGCTTGAACCTGGGAGGCGGAGGCTGCAGTGAGCCAAGATCATGTCACTGCACTCCAGCCTGGACAAGACAAAGCGAGACTCCATCTAAACAAACAATCAAACAAACAATCCCCTTCCTCTAGACAGCCACATGTCTTCCTTCCTTCAGGTCTCAGCTCCCAGCCCACTACCTCAAAGTGCCCTGGAGTGGGCACAGGGAGTACCTCACAGTGTCCTCCCTGACCATTCACATAAAGTAACATCCTCCAGAAACTATCCTGTTCCTTTGCTTTATTTTTCTTAATAGCATTTATCACTATATGGCATTTATCACATGTAGTTTTTATTTTTTGTGTCTCTCTCTCCAATTTATATGTAAGCTTCATGAGGAAGGAATCAGTGAGTGAATGCCTTGGCACATACACTCATCCATTCAACAAACATTATTAAGGGTCTGGGCTGGGCATGGTGACTCATGCCTGTAATACCAGCACTATGGGAGGCCGAGGTGGGAGGATCACTTGAAGCCAGGAGTTTGAGACCAGCCTGAGCCAGAAAACAAGACCCTGCTACTACAAAACGTAATTTAAAAAATTAGCCAGCCTGTAGTCCCAGCTACTCAGGAGGCTAAACCGGGAAGATCCCTTGTGCCCAGGAGTTCAAGGCTGCAGTGAGCCATGGTCACACCACTACACTACAGCCTGGGTGACAGAATTAGACCCTGCCTGTTAAAAAAAAAAAAAAAAAAAAAAAAGGATTGGAGGAAAGTCTGCCTTGACCAGACTGTGTGCTAGGGGCTGGGCATACAAAAGTGAAAAACGCAGACATGATTCGTCCTCACTGAGCTCACAGGTCTGAGGATACACATAGCCCGGGAATGGAGATGCTTTGCTGGAGATGGACAGTGAGTCTAGGGGAACCCCAAGGAGATGCTTAGTCCAGACATGGAGCGGGGCGTGGTCAGGTCATTCCCTGGAGGAGGTAATGTTTAAGCTGTGGCCTGAAACCTCAGTAGGATGTGATGATCTCAGAACGTGCTACAAGTTCTTTGGCATTTCTCCTTTAAATTACCTTCCCTGTGAATCTGTACTGGCCTTCATGATTCACGTGTAACTAAGGATACAGCAGACGTGATGCTGCAGGATTTCTAAGGTGAAGCTGCGCTGAACCGCCATATTGAAAGGCCAACAGCCAAGACTGCCATGCGGTGAGGAAGCCCAGGCCACGTGGGAAGACCATGTGTAGGTAGGTGCTCCAGTTGACAGTTGAGTGGAGAAACCTCCAGGTGATTCCAGCCCCTCATCATTCAAGTCACTCCCAGCTGTTGGAGGGTCTTCCCAGCAGAGGCCCAGCTATCACAGAGCAGAGACAAGCCATCCTTTCCATGTCCTGTCTGAATTCCTGACCCACAGAATCCAGGAGCATAAGGAGATGGCAGTTGTCCACACTATTAGGTTCTGGGGCAATTTGTTAGGAAGCAATACTGGAACAATTGGATAAGGCAGAGTGAGGCAAAGGAAAGGACTTTACAGATGCCAACAACAGCACATGGGAAGGCCTGGCAAGGGCAGCTGGCACAGAAGCTGACCAGCTTGCAGGGACGGTGTAGAGAAAGGAGGGTGACAGGCAAGAGTGAGAAGGACCTTGAAGGTATTTGGAATTTATCCCGAGTCTCCACATTGCAGCCTAAGGGGTCAAGGGGTGTGTGTGTGTGTGTGTGTGTGTGTGTATGTGTGTGTGTGTGTGTGTGTGTGTGTGTTATACATGGGGTTTTGCTGTGTTGCCCAGGCTGGTCACAAACTCCTGGCCTCCAGAGATCCTCCTACCTTGGCCTCCTAAAATGCTGGGATTGCAGGTGTGAGCCACTGTGCCTGGCTTCCAAGGGGTCTTTTTTTTTTTTTTTTTTTTTTGAGACTGAGTCTCACTCTATTGCCCAGGCTGGAGTGCAGTGGTGCAACTTCAGCTCACTGCAATCTCCGCCTCCCAGGTTCAAGCGATTCTCCTGCTTCAGC